AAATCGCGAAATTGTGCATTTTAATGGCATATGGCTAACAGAAGCAGTGACATAAGTGAGTATTCTATCAGATATGTTGCGTCTGATGTGGGCAATATCATATTCAATCCCGTGAATGAGGCTGGAAAAACAGCATTGAGAGGAACAAATGTGATGAAAATCAGGGTGTATATATATATATATATATATATATATATATATATAATGCATGCTGAAGCAGCGTGTGTTCGATCATAAGTTTAAGTTCCTTCTGAACCAATATTGAGGAGGGTTCACTGTGTACAAACACCGAAGTGGTACAGTACATGGTTACAATATCCGAAGGTGTGGCTTATTATTGGCATTTTCCTCCGGAATTAGGGTGATCATAATTGTTGTTTATCCTTCATTGTTTCACCCAAAATTCTCTAATTTAAGGTTGAAGAACTTCAGAAAACCAAAGATGAAACGCAACAGAAGCTTACCGAAATCGAAGCTGCTCTGGCCGAATTGCAAAAGGCGGAAACAATGGCACGCCGTAACGTGGCTCATTTCGAAACAGAGGTATCTCAAGCCACATCCAAGGCTCGGTATTGGCAGCGTGAGATTCGTGGTCTACGCTTGCATCGCATCGATGATGATGATGATGTTGACGAGGATGAAGACAATAGAGATACAGACAAACCACAGGATAGTGATGCGGACCAACCCAGTTCGTCGCAGATCGCGGATGGTTTGACACAAACTGCGCCTAGTCAGCCGGAGGCCGATGGAACCATCAGCTCCCCATCCGGATTGAAAAAACGTCGCGGCCGATCCACTGATTTACCAGCCTACACAGTGGAGCAGCTCCAGGGTCAGTTTTATTGCTGGATCTGGTGATAGAAAACTGTTTGAGGTAGTTCAAGTAGCATTCTGTGAAAAACCAACTTAGTCGTGATGTCAGTAATTCCTATAACCAAGTTACTAGTAGTATTTTCTCTCTCAATAGGATAGGAATCATGGTCATTGCGTGATCGATGTCTTAGCAACAAGTTTCTGTTGATTACATAGAATGCGATTTACAGCAAATGTAGTAAACCACATTTTCGAATGCATAATGTGAGGAGGGAGGTATATATGGGGGAACATTCAGGTGAGGACCAACTTGGTAATCCTGCTTTTTAAAAGAGAAATATTACAAGCGGTTTGAAATCTGGAGATGGGAAGAGTGTTTTACGACTTCGCAGTCCTGGGGAGAAAGAGTACTTGAAGATAGAAATCCTGTTAAGGGTGAATACCCGCCTAAAACCGGATGGATGAGAAAAAAACTAGAGAAGGGGATCCGCGGAAGGGAGTTCTGAAAAACAAACAAAAATGATCACAGTGAAAAAGATAAAGCGAAGCAACTAACCGCTTTCATGTTGATGACTGTTCGTTGATTAGCTGGATGGCCTTACGTTGAGCACGGTCAAGAAGAGAATGATCAAATTACGAGGCTCCGCTCCCTAACGTGACTGCAGTATTCGAACATCGGGCGAATTCGAGCTTTGTATAAAAGCAGTGAGATATAAAGAAACGCCTGACGCGGGATAGGAAATTGA